TGTCGATAAAGTATAATAGGGTAAATCCTGTATAGTGATTTATCCTATGTAGTGCTTGCATAAAGCAAGTAGTGCATACACTTGTAGCTGTTATGTATCTTTGTAAGTCATTGTAAGCCCTCTTTTGAGGCACGCGTTTCACGAACCCAACACCCCAACACTTCTCTGCTTTGAAGGCTGTGCCCTTCTTGTGTAATATTTTATTAAAAATTAAATTTTGCCCATAGATAAGGTTTGACCCCTCGGGTCATGGGATTGTATTCTTACAATTTCAATTAGTTATTTATTCCTTCAGATTGAAGATTTTTCTTGATTTTCTAATTTCTCTAGCCAAAACTCCTGCACATTGGCAGTTTGTCTTTGTAATCCCAAGTATACATCTTTTACTCTTATTGTTATAATAAAAATGGGATTAATGTAAACATTTCAAGTGCTCTTGACTGCTTGAAGCCTCAGGCTTGGAAAGGAAACACATTAAATGCATTACTGAAATGCATGATTTGATTGAATGCTGTGTGGCAGCAGCTATTTCCAGAAGAGAAACAGACGATCCCAAGTATACATCTTTTTCTCTTTGTCTTTTTTTTTTTTTTTAATGTTTTATCTGTGTAATTGATTTTTGGATTGATTTTTTTATTTCTTAATTCATTAATTTACATGTGTAGCCCTACCTGGTGAATAAATTTTTTTTTTAAGTTTATTTGTTCGGGAATCTTGATTAAATTGTCATTTCTACTAGATTCTAAGGCTTTGCACACAAGGTCGTTCTAAACCCAGATTAATGGAATCCTGCGTTATCTTGCTTCATGTTTCACACTGCTCATACTCGGGGTTAACAGTTAATCGTGGGTATTTCATAATGTGACATTTTACACTACATTCCTAAACCCTGGGTTAATGTTCTTATTTGCATATTTGTGGTATCAACCACCATGACTGGATAAATACAGCATGTGAACATTATAAATAATGGCTCATGTTTCTGTATCAATTCAAAATACCCATGATTTGAATTGAGAAGTAGCTACTTCATTTGGGACCTTCAAATTTCTTCTTCTTATCTGACTTACCAAGTTGTACGTACATGACCAAAAGGAATTACTGTATAGTTATGAGCAGCACTACAGTAGATGGCCAAACTCGTTAGTGTATTAGTTCACACTGCAACCGCAGAGTATGACCAGACTGGCGGGTTTGTGACGGTTTGTCTGACCAATGTCGAGTGTTTGGAATGAAATCTGCTTTTAGAGTAGTGTTTACTGCCTTTAGTGGGTACTCTACGTGTACTATACCTGTAGTATCGTATACCATATATTGCTTGGGATAAAGCATTGGCAAAATGATGACTAACTAATGTCAAGTTGTAAAAATTATTATTAAATAACTAACTGGATTGTATTTTCTAAAGAAAAGGAGCATTATTAGTTCATTGCTAAGTGCTTTTTTATGGTGTGTACCAGGTGGTTGCTGAGGGGGTGCGAACCAAACAGTGGAGAAATTTACCAGATAAATAAGCCAAAATGTTCAGAAACGGCCATGCCATGTTGCAAATATAATGTTATCTTACTGCTAAAACTATATTGAATAATGTACTTGCATTAAAAGAGTAGTGTAAATATGCTATGAACTCTTGTTCATATATGCTACATGCTGTACTCTCCTCCGAAATCAGCTGGAATATTTCAAGAGGCAGTGCGCACACACACACACACACACACACACAGGCTCAAGTCTTTTTGTGAGTTATGTAACAGCCTCTCTGCTGCTGTTTTAAGCAGGTTTGCTTCATGAAGCCACTAATGAACCTAAAGCGGCTCTAATCATCCTGCAGCTTCAGTCCTTTCACTGACTCGTTCACTCTTGATAACTTCATTAACTGCACTGACACATTGATTAATGAAGCAGAGATTGTACAGTATGTGGCTAGCAGTCTCATGGGATACTGTAGTAGGCAGATGTGTACAGTAGAGACAGTAGGCTGTTATCAGGGGTAAAAATTTGCTTATATATTCAGGCAGCACCTTCTAAAAATTTTCAAACATCCTAGGTTTCAAAGTGAAGTTTTAGACTATATCAGCATGAAACATTATTTATTGCCATAAATGCATTAAAGCAGCTTTAACAATTAACATTGTGAAGGATTTTGAGGGCTATGGTGAAGGGCAGAATTTTCTTTTGGTCGATTTGACTACTTTTATTGTGTATTCTTGTTCTTTTTGGAGCTTGACAGTCCCTAGTTGCTTTCATATAGAAAAGAGTAGCTTAGACATTCTGCTAGATATTTCCTTTCTTGTTCCATAGCAGAAAGTATGATGATAGAATCTTAATTTTTGGGTAAAATTTTATTAAAACTGTTTTAACTTAAAAGTTTTTTTGAGGGAATTTCATGGTACTAAACCTTAATCATCTCTAAATTAAACAGCATGTCTACATAAAATAATACAAATATTAGAAAAACTATTTCATATTATTTTCATTAATACAGTGTTTAAGTTAATATTACAGCAACGGAATTAAAAATGACTTTTATTAGGTTTTGCCTTTGGATATATATTTTGACATTATAAAAGGCTACTTTATTGTGGATGATTTGAAGATTGATCTGATGTAAATTTATAAATAATTCAGTGTTCAAGACTGCAGTTTTGATTTCACCCAAGGCAATTGACATCATATTCCTGCAATAACATCAGAATGTTTTCAATAAACAGAAAACACTTGAAATAGCAGCATATTGTTCATGTGTATGGCCTCTTTAACTTGAAATAAATTGTTTGTGCTTTTATCAGAAAAAGAATGTAAAAATGCTACAGTAAAAACCCATTTTGAGAGTTGTTTTACCATATTTTAGATACAATTTTACTGTAAAATACTGTAGTATGTTTGTTAGAAATAAAGGTATGAATTATTTTGAAAATTAATACATTTTTAAACATTTAAAAATGCCTATAGTTTTGCATCAAATAAAATGATTTTAACCACCTTATAATTTGTGACCAAATGTAATTTCTCCTAAATGAAAGACGATATAAGAAGCCTATTTACTATCAAAAGATTGTTTTAAACTGAAAGACAAAATGAGAACTTAACAGTTTAACCGTGATTTATTGTGCATCCAATATGCCATGAAAATGCTGAGTAATATCTGTACTGTACATAAGTACACATTTCAACATAAACCAAACATTGATTATCAATGCATGTTTTTTTCCCTCAATTCAAAGCTTGTGTTGGTTTTCAATACAAAACGGTTTTAGTTGCAGAAGCATTATCATTCTAAATATATTTTTAGCAAAACATTACCAAAAAAAATTTAAAAAGTTCAACAGACCATTCAGCTGATCACCATAAGTATTAATAAAGCTATAGTAAACAGTTAAGTACTAAATATATTTATTTTATTCAGTTATACAGGCAAAAAAAATTTAAGTTCGACAGTCAGAGTTGATAAACATTTCATGTTACCCAGAACATGAGAATACAGTCTTAAGGTATTTCCACTCTGCTCTATCTGTTAAATTGCTACCGTTGTAATCCTTTGGTGTGCGATCCTTCTGTCAAGTGGTAAGTGCTGCATCTACACAAGCATGTGTATCAGAACCAGGCCTGCCAGCCGAGGAAGAGGCGGCTGAGGTTTTTGGGGTCCATTGCCTGCTGAATGAGGAGGTTTACCTGCCCCTCCACGCTGAGCACCGTCCCCTCTTCAACACCCTTCAGCTTCTGCAGTCAGAGTAACACGCGCTCTGCCACTTTATTAAAGCTCTGACTGTCACTGCAGAAACACAATGCATCAACACATAAGACAGGACATGACTATGCTTTGAAGCAATCTTTGCTGAAATCTGAAGAAAGCTTGACGATGGTAGACACATGAGACTGAACTGGAAAAAGGTAAATATGCGTACATAAGCTTAATAAATCTCTATTTTCATTTAAAACCTTTATTCAAATTAGTGTGTGTACTGCATGCTTTTCTCTTACTGACTCTATACTGCCATAAAAAAGGCAAAACACTGTAACTACACCTGCACTGAAGGGGGGGAAAGGCTTTTTTAATATAGTCACGGTGTGTCGGAGGGAAATGAGGAGACGACTTACACAAACTTGACTTTTAATAAAACAAACCAAAGGAGAGGAACACTAACATTGGGAGCGCTGGAGTACACACACAAACTGAACACTGGGGGTGTGTGTGG